GTTCCCTTCCTCAATCCTGAGTCGCTGGATCAGGTCCTCCAGATTCATCTCCTTTCGCTTATGCTTAAGGTAGTTCTTGAAGTCCTTCCAACCTGGAGGCAACAAATGGATCACAGATCCCACTTGGAAGGCTTCACTTAGCACCATGCCTTCGTCACGGATCTCGTCAAATATTAATTGCAAATCTTCTACCTGACTTAGCACGGTCTTTGAATCAACCATTTTGAAGTCGAGGAATCGGCCAACTACAAATTTTTTTGAGCCGGCATCCTCACTTCGGTATTTATGATCCAAAGCTTCCCACAACGCTTTTGATGTGCTTATCTTTCGATATACATCATATAGCGTGTCACACAATCCATTCAGGATGTAGTTTCGGCAAAGGAAGTCCGAATCCTTCCAATAGCCAACCGCCATCACGGATTGTGCATCTTGTTCCTTCAACTCGGGAACACTCTCGGACAAGAACCTTGCCAGGCCGAGAGTTGCTAGGTAGAACAACATCTTCTGTTGCCACCTCTTGAAGTTCGAACCAACACCGGTGAACTTCTCCGGCTTTTCAGCCGAACCACTCGGTACCGAAGGTACCCGAGACATGGGAATATATCCCTCAGTGCTCCCACCATCTTGTGAACCAACGTTCACTGGTGTAGCTTGGGAATTAGCAACATTGTTGCCGTTTCCTCCATTGTTGTTCTCAACAACATTTTCTTCCCCATTGTTAGCGATTGGCAACTCGGGGTTCTCCATTTCTTCAAGGAAATTCGAGAAAACAACCAACGGGAAAACAAGAAATAAGGTTTTAAGACTGTTGGTAGCGTTGGTAGAAAAACAAATAATAATCAAATAAAATTGACTATTATTTTTCTGGAAAGAAGGGAAGAAAAGATGAAGAAATTTGGCTAGTGTTTGGTGTTGGGTTTTTGCAAGAGTCGAGTGAGCACTCTTTCCTTAAAACCTTATTTGCCACCTCCCGTAGATGCTAGGAGCGTTGTGGCCTAGGCTTCCCAGGATAAAACTTGCTATGATCCAATGTTTGAGCATTCAAACAAAGGATCCGGCGAGCAAGACAATGGCTATGAACACAGAATAGCTAAAGAAAGAGTAGAAGCAGAGATTTTTGAAGCTGGAAAAGTATACTTTCGTGCTGTGTAAAGCTGTGTGTAAAACTCTACTGCCTCTACCCTCTCTTATATAGGGTTGAAGGAGCCAATAGCCTTTATTATGGCAATTAAAAATGACATTAAAGCTGCCTTCCAACAGCTATAACAGCAGGCCACTACTTGGGAATTGAATTCAGAATTCAAAATTGGAATTATCCGTAACAGATGAATTCAATCCCCTCAACAGTCAGAACTTTCGGGTTCCTGACCGTTAGCGTACAGGGTTCGGGCTCAACTTTCGGGTTCCTGACCAAGTGGCTATACCAGTTGGAAAATGATACCAAAGTGTGGTATAACTTAGCCCGCAAGGCCAGCCAATTTCCGGACGACATTCGTGCCCCCAGGTGCCGGCGCACACGAGCTCGGGCTTGATTTCAAGCCTTTTTCAATCTCTGCTCGTTGGAATTTGATTTGCACCCCCCCCCCCACCCCCCGCGCGAGAGAGCCTCTATGCTATACAATTCTACAAGCTTCAAAAGAGCTCTTGTATATAAGGGGGGAAAATCTTCATTCCAAAGCAATGTGGGACAAAAAGCTCACTTTTTTCCCTTCATTTTCCAACTCAAATGGGTCTACTTTGAGAATCAATATCTCATTCACTCATTATCCGTTTTGAGCGTACAATATATCGATCTCTTCGTCTCACTACGAAGAATCCGAATCCACTTTGACCCGACCCAAATCGGAAGTGGACCCCACTGATAATTGTACCACAAAATAGCCACTTAACATGCCATTTTAAGCTATTTTTTCCAACAAGTTATTCTGTTGCTGCCTTGCTGGTGTTATTCTCTCACCAGGAAGTGAGGACTGGAAACTCATACGACATCGTGGAGGATAAGTTCTACAGGAAACGACATGATAATGGCGAACAGCCTCCCATTTCACCTTTGCCCCGAAGCTGACTGAGGAACATAAGAAGTATGCTGAAGAGTATGCAAAGAAGAAGGGCGAGGAGAAAGGTGAAAGAGAAAAGGGAGAGCCTTTGGTTATTGAGAAGAGTACTTTTCATGGTAAGGAAGAGAGGGATTATCAGGCTAGGTCATGGATTGCACCTCCTAAGGACGCCAAGCTACAGAATGATCACTGTTATATTCCAAAGAGATTGGCGCATACTTGGAGTGGCCACACGAAAGGAGTTTCAGCTATTAGGTTCTTCCCCAAGCATGGACATTTGATATATTCTTTCTGCTGGAATGGACACGAAAGTGAAGATTTGGGATGTTTCAATTCAGGCAAGTGCATGAGGACTTACATGGGGCACTCAAAGGCTGTGAGAGATATTTGGTTTAGCAATGATGGAACTAAATTTTTAACTGCGAGCTATGACAAAAATAACAAGTATTGGGATACAGAGACGGGAAAGGTGATATCTACATTTTCCACATGGAAGGTACCTTACGTGATGAGACTTAATCCTAATGAGGATAAACAGAATGTGCTTTTGGCGGGTATGAGTGATAAGAAGATAGTACAGTGGGATATGAACTCTGGGCAGATTACTCAAGAGTATGTTCAGCATCTTGGAGCAGTTAATATAATCACATTTGTAGATGATAATAGGAGTTTTGTAACTTCTAGTGATGATAAATCTCTCCGGGTATGGGAGTTTGACATTCCTGTTGTTATAAAGTACAATAGTGAACCCCATATGCATTCTATGCCCTCCATTTCACCACATCCAAATGGGAATTGGCTTGCAGCCCAAAGTTTGGATAATCAAATCCTTATCTATAGTACCAGAGAGAGGTTCCAGCTGAACAAAAAGAAGAGATTTGCTGGACATATTGTAGCTGGGTATGCCTGTCAGGTTAATTTCTCACCTGATGGGCGGTTTGTCCTATCAAGAGATGGTGAAGGTAGATGTTGTGAGGAAGAAGAAAGCTAATGAAATGACTATTTTAGCCCCTACACTAACACCTAACAAACTGAAAGTTAACGGAAGGACCAATGCTGGAACAAATCTAAAAGTCAAGTGTCTTTTTCGTCCAAATTAAAAGACAAGGACCAATTTTGGAAAATCACCATAGTCGGAGGACCATTGCTGGAATTAACTCAATTTAAAAGTGTCACCATAGTCGGAGGACCATTGCTGGAATTAACTCAATTTAAAAGTGTCTATAACATTTAACATTTAAGGTTGGTTCTGGAGTGTAGTCTAACAAAAAAAAAAAATAAGGATCACACTTATGTGAGAGTGTGAGACCGTCTCGGATCTCTATTCGTGGATCAGGTCGGATCGCATCACCATGCAAATGCCATACTTATATGGCTATTGGGTCTATTACATTGTAGTATCTGTTCATATACTTTCTCAACCTACTGAAACACAAAGAACCAATAACGTCTCCGTGGAGACTCGAACTCATAATCTTCCAAATGAAAGTCCAACCCGGGTACCATTAGACCACATAATCCTGGTAAAAATTTTGTTACTTATAAGAAAAAATGTAATACTTTTACATTTTTATATAAAAAGTATTATATTTTTCATCAAAAGTATTTCGGGGTCGTTTACTTCATTTCTCTATTTCTCCATTTCTAATTTTCCAATTCTCCAATTCTCTAATTTTCCTTCTCCATCCCTTCCATTTTCCATTTCTCCAATTTTCATTCCTCATTCTTCTAATTTTTCATTTCTCTAATTTTTTGATTTCTCTCTTTCTATAATAATAATAATAATAATAATAATAATAATAATAATAATAATTATTGAAGAAGAGGCTATAATAATAATAATAATAATAATAATAATAATAATAATAATAATAATAATAATAATAATTGATGGATATATTACACCCACGACCCGACCCGGGGTAGCAACATGGACCCGTGGGACCATGGTGGAGCCCAAGAGCAACACGGACCCGGGGCACCACGGAGGTGCCCAAGAGCAACACGGACCCGGGGCACCATGGAGGTGCCCGAGAGCAACACGGACCCCGGGAACCACGGAGGTGCTCAAGAGCAACGCGGACCCGGAGCACCATGGAAGTGCCCCGACCCGAGCCGACCTACGTGGAGCTCAGGTCGGGGAGCTCGGTCCTACCCGAGCTCGGCACCACCCGGGCTCGGGACCCGACTCGACCTGGTCCGCCAGGGCCCGGTCAAACATGAGATCTAACCAACCCCGATTTAAGGGGAGGCGGTTGGGGGGTTTGCTTGTATAAAAATCCCCCTCCTTGTCCTAACAAGGAGCGATTCATTACATATTCTACACTTATTATACACTTTGTCCTAACGGATCTTTGTAATAGCCAAATACTACGGCAATTAATATAATATACGGTCCCCAGCGACCTTTACGACAGCGTTCTATATAGACCTGGCAATTCGTGTATACAGGTCCGTTAACGGGTTGACACGATAACGACACGAACACGATAAGGCTAAAAACGGACACGACACGTTATGATTAACGGGTTCAAAATTTTAACACGAACCCGAACACGATTTATTAACGGGTTAAACGGGTTGACACGATCGACACGTTTTGTTAACAGGTTTCAAGTTGTGTCGACACGATATGACACGAAACCCGTATAAACCCGCTATTTCTATTAATATATTTAAAAACTAAAATTTAAAGTTAAGTTCTATAAAAAAAGAAATAAAACCTACAGTTCAATTCATCAAACAAATTAAAAAACATTCAATTCATGACATTCATAAAATGATAAAATAGCATCCAAAAATCATAATTAAAGGAGTCCATACAAGTTTTTAGAATAAAAAGAACACAATAACAATTCAAATTTCAAATGGTTGAACATCAATAATTGGTGTAGGATCTTGGCCTGATGTAGTAAATTCATCATTAGTCATGTTCATAATATCTTTTGTAATCTCATTCATGACAATGGTTCTTACCTAAATGACAATGGTTCTTAGTGGGTTGTAAACAGGTTTGGTAAACGGGTTCGTGTTAACGGGTTAACACGATAATATTAACGGGTTAAACGGGTTCTTAATAGGTTTAACGGGTTGACCCGTTAAGACACGAAACATAACGGGTCCTTAACGGGTCAACCCGTTAACGACCCGGGACACGTTAAGACTAAACACTAACCCGTTATTTTCGTGTCCGGTTTCGTGTCGTGTTAACAGGTCGTGTCCATAATTGCCAGGTCTAGTTCTATATTATTCGCTTATTATTTTTAGTATATTACGTTCTTATCCGGATTTATTGATTCGGGCACACCCCCGGGTTAATTAAATCCATCAATAATAATAATAATAATCAAATATTGCCCGCATGGGTAGTTCAACTGGTCATAGAGGTGAAACTTTGGAAGAATGACTAGGGATCGAGTTTCACCAGCGGCAGTGTGGGAGCAACCTCATGATTCGTCTCCGGCCATCGAGGAGACGAAAGCATTTTAATTCCCTTTTTTTTCCCCTATTAATATAATAATATGTTTTCACCTTAAACTATGTTTTATGTCCAAAACAATAAAATGAATTGTGTTCAAATCCTTACTTTTCACAGCAAGTTATGCAATTAAAGAGTAAAGACTGCAAAATCAAACTGAACAAGGGGAGGAATTGGTTCGGAGTCGTACAGAGATGAAGATGGGGTTTCGTTGTTGGAGTAATTCAGATGTTGGGTCCTTCTAGGGAACAAGTGATGGTTTCTGGGCTTGAAGAGTTTACAGCCACGGAGAGGATGTCGACTTCGTCGACTATTGCGACGTCAATCGCAACGAGAATTTCGGAGTGGAATTTCGAGATTGCGGGCAGAGAAGAATGAAACGGAGGGGATGCTCAGTTTCGATGAAGGGGTCGTCGCCTTTCTTTTCTGACTCAGCTCCGGCAATGGCAAGGTTTGTGAGTAGAGAGTGAGATACGACATGAGAGATGGGAAGGGTAGGAGGAGATTGGAAAATGACTTCCCCAAAAAAAGGGAAGTTATTTTCCACCAAAATAAGGGTATTTTCCATTGACTAGGAAAATATTTTCCTTTTAACTTAATTTTTTATGAGTTACCAAACACTGGAAACCCGGAAAATGATTTCCAGAAATCATTTTCCGGGTTTCCAAACATACCCTAAAAGTATTACATTTTTTTTTATCAAAGTATCACATTTTTCGTCATAACTATTACACTTTCTCTTATAAGTAACAACTAGTATTTTTACTCGTGCGTTGTACGAAATAGATTTGTTATAATATTTTAAGAATATTTAGATCGATATACAATTATACAAACTATAATAACGAATATTATATAGTGAAATTGATGAAATATGTTTGATCAATTATGTTTTTTGATGTTTCCTTTCTTGAATTCGAGCAAATAATTGTCCAATTACCCGTGCATGCACGGATAATTTTTTTATTATATATTTAGATAATAAAATTAAAGATTAAATTATAAACAATTCTAATATTTGAAAGCGTACATTTATTTGATTATAAGATTAGTGCAACGTATCACTCAATTAATTGAATAATATATGACTCGTTTGTCTGTAATTATCTTAAAAAATTGATATGTAATATGATTTATGTAATTTTAATATTAATTAAATAAATATAAAAAAGAAATAATTTAATTGTAATTATTATAAAAATAAATCCAACAACTCAACTTTAGCTTAATTATGATAATAATTATTAGGCAATTATACTAATATTTATGCAATTATACTTTTATACCTTAAGTATATTCCTTTTCACCACATTGTCTTTACTTTTATTCATCCTCCATATCTGAATGAATAAATTGTAATTATTATTACAAAAAATCCAACGATCCATGTTTAATTGAAATTATACTAAATCCATGTAATTATTAGTTTAATTCATTAATATTATTATTAGTTAATTGTATTAATATTTGTTCAATTAATTTTTTAATTACCATAATAATTACGGAGTATTAAGTAATTATACTTATATTGTGCAATTATACTTTATATCTTCAATGTGTGTGTGTGTGTGTGTGTGTGTGTGTGAGAGAGAGAGAGAGAGAGAGAGAGACTGAGTGTGTGTGTGTATTTTCGAATATATACTAGTTTTACACGTGCATTGCGCAAATGAGTTAATTCACATGTTTATAATTAAATAAGTATTTGAAAGTATATCAATGCAAGACTATATATGAGAAGTTCATACATAAGTAATTGAATGTCGAATTTGTTTATTTAAATATGTAACTCAAAGTATATGAATACAAAATAATATAAGAGATTCATTATAATTGTCACTAAAATAAATGTTTGCAACTTTATAAAATCGATAGTCTAACTACTTTGTCTAAAAACAAAAGTCTAAATAAATACTACTTTTAATTTGGTTTGAATTTTTCTAAGTATTTTTAATTCTCTTTGGTGTAGCATTGTAATTGTTTTCATCATCTTCACTATTTGTCCTCTTCGTTTTTGTTAGTAGTGTGTCATTTCCAATTGGGTTACTGTTGGTAGCATAGATGACATGCAATGAGATTATGATGTAGGAAGCTATGGATTGGTTATATTTGTATAAGGTTCTTGAATAATACCTCTTGTTTTATTTTCATAACTTGTTACTTGATAATAACAATAATAACTCTGCAGGTAGTCCGAATAATGGTGTGTGTGTGTGTGTGTTTTTTTTTTTTTTTTAAAAAAAATTATTGAAGGGATACTAACATTGGAGTTAAATTATTTTTCATTTTGTGCATAAACTATTTTTAAATAGTAACCAAATATTTTTGTTGCGAAGGGTTCTAATATATTTAATGAATGCACATACAAAATCAATAGATGAATCAATGGTACCAATCCTTTAGGTGTTTTGCTCAATGTTCATTTAGTTCAACCATTATTGTTGAATGAATTATTATGGATAAAAAAAATTCCTAATTTAAGGAATTTAGATGAAGTAATAAAAATTTAAAAATTTTAAATATATTGGGCGGTTGGTAAATATGATATAACCCAAATGTCAAAACGCTAAAGAAAGTGTTTAATTATTCAACAGTTTGGAGCAACAATTTGTTCCAAATCACCGAAAATACAAACACTGTAATTTAAAACGTTTTCACTTAGCGTTTTGGAGAATGATTCCCCCAAAACACCCTTGTATTTATTTATTTTTAAGTGTTTGCTGTGGAGCCGTTTCGACTCCTTGAATGACAAGAGCCACTTTAACTGGCTCAGTTCTTGCCCATCAACGGAAGCGCAAGCTTAATGTTTAAATTGGAGCTTTGAGAAAGTAGCCTCAAGGCTCCCATGCCACTTTACCCACCAATGTGGAAAAAATGGCAAAACTAAGAGGAGCCAAATGTTCGGCTCTTCATATGTATTTTTTTTAAAATTTCTTTAATTAAATTATTATTACTATTATTATTATTATTATTATTATTATTATTACTATTATTATTATTATTATTATTATTATGAAATATATATGTATACCCTTTAGGTAATTTTACATCTAAACATCTATTTTTTTTTAAGACAAACAACTAATTTTGTTAAATATCTTTTTACCAACGACTGATATAATTCGCTGGTCAAACCCGTTAATATAATCCGCTATTAGCTAACTGCTAAAACAATCCGCTTACGCTAATCGCTGATTGCCAAACAAGGACATTGCGAGGTAGTTTTTCACTTCAATGTTGTTGTGTGATTTGAATACTCTCTTTGTCAACAAATCTCCCAAGTAGTTAATATGATTAACTTAATTATTATTATTATTATTTCATGGTATTAATAAAATACTATATATATATATATATATATATATATATATATATATATATATAGAGAGAGAGAGAGAGAGAGAGAGAGTTAGGATCATATGAGAACAAGTGCTTAGGTGAGAACGTGAGAACACATTATTTGCATCCATCTAATATTTTTTAAAGGTCTAGATTAGATTAAGTGTGTGCGAACGCGCATTAAATGTGTGCAAACACACTAAATCGCGTTTGCACACATTTAATACGCGTTCGCACACACTTAATCTAATCTAGACCATTAAAAAATATTAGATGAATGCACATGATGTGTTCTCACGTTTTCACCTAAACACATGTTCTCACTGGAACTCTATCCTATATATATATATCTATATCTATATCTATATCTATATATATATATATATATATATATATATATAGCGGGTCAAATTCCTATGAGGTCAGGTTTTCCCGTGCGGTCAGTGCGGCATACAGCATAAGGTATGCGTAAATGTACCACACAGTGTTCGTAAATACACCATTATGTGGGTGTATTTTTTTTTGTGGTGTATTTTTTGGCATTTCATTCTGGTGTATTTTCGAACACTATATGATGCATTTATACATACCTAATGGTGTATGCCGCACTGACCGCACGGGAAGACCTGACCTCACAGGAACCAAAATCTATATATAGCATTATTTTGTATTATAACTTTGATATTTAACTAAAAAATAATGTAAAAGAAAAAAATATAATGGACAGTGTAGTGCATATAATCAATCAATTGATGAATTTGAATGTAAAAAATTTTTACATTGGAGAAAAATAAAGACAATATAACAAATGAAATTATTTCTCTTAACATGAACATTTTTTTTAATAAAGGCATTTTAGGGACAATGTAGCGAATATAATCAATTGATGAATTTGAATATAAAGAATTTTTATATTGGAGAAAAATAAAGACAATATAACTAATGAAATTATTTCTCTTATTTAATTTATTTATAATGAATAATTTTTTTTTGAATAAAGGCATTGTAGACACATAATTCTAAATTAAAGAAATGCATATGTATTATTTTTTGTTGTAGCTACTAAATTATTTCTACATCTACATCTACAATATACAATACAAATATATACAAATACAAATCTAATAAGAGCCAATAATGTTAGGCCCTTAACTGGAACAAAAAAATGTCAGTAGTAATTATTACTTAAAATGAATGGTCTATATTATTTTAATTTTACTATTTTTAATGATTTTCCTTATTTACCCTCTATTATATTATTTTCTTCCTTTAAATAACCCTAAATTCCGTTAGTATAAATTTTAGTAACGGAATATTCCGTTAACTATTTATGATTCTTAACTTACTCATTAATTTATATAAGAAAGGTATTAGGTTCGAACCCCATCCCAATTAGAGTTTGCATAATTGTTAAACATATATTATGAATATGTTAAAATGTATTCAAAGTTGAGCATCAAAGATTATACATTAGAAACTTTAAAAATCATTTGATTTTCTTGCATTTAAAAAAAAATTAGGTTAAGTTTTTTTTTTTTTTCCTTTGTTTAATTAATCTTCTTTTGATTATTTAGAACAAAATTTAATATTTCAATTATATTTTTGCATTATTTTAATGATTTATGTCATTATGGTATTAATATTTTTTATATTATTTTTATAATGGTACAATTGTACATTACTTTATAAATATTATATTATTATTTTTATCAAAAAAAAAAAATGTTCTTACATCATTGTCAGACCTGCGCGGCCTAACTACAAACTTGTCGATTATAAATACAATTACACATAGACTCTAAAACGGTAGGATCATTTTTCAAATAATTGACAATGTTGACATCCTACTAGCTCCAATTGAACAATTTTACACATCAGAATTTGATCAACGCATTAAAACATATAAAGAAATTCATTAGTTAATTTTTACTATATTATTATAACAATATATATTGTAACCATATATTTTGAATTATTTATTATCATCCTCTATTGACAGCAATTTTAGCATTTGTCATTGACAAACTCTCAAAACAATTTGTCTCAACAACGAATGAAAATTAAAAAAAAAAATCAATGATTTCATTATTGTTGATGAAAAGTATGTACACTACTTTATTACTCTTATTAAATTAAATAAATTAGTAGCTACAACAAAAAATAATACATATGCATTTAATTAATTTAGAATTAGATGTCTATAATGTCTTTATTAAAAAAAATTATTCATTATAAAATTTTTTAAAAGAAATATAATTTCATTAGTTATGTTATCTTTATTTTCTACAATTCAAAGATTCTTTACCTTCAAATTTATTAATTTATTAACCCAACAGGGTAGTTCAAGTGGCAAATGAGCTCTCTTTGTGGGGGAGAATTTTAGGATAACCCGGGTTTGATTCCCACAAGTGACGATTCCCTTTGGGCTAGCTTCTGTGCCTCTCGGAGCGAACCGGGCCCACAATGTGTGGTTTACACCAAAAAAAAATTTATTAATTTATTATATTCACTATATTGTCGATCACTCCATTGTCTTCTTTTTACATTATCTTGTAATTAAATATCAAAATTATATTAGAAAATATGTTATATATATTTATTTACCAAGTATTTTATACAAATATAATAAATATTAATATTTTGTTCAATACTTTCACATGATAACATGCGACACACATATCACAAAACATGAAACATGTAGGGAAAAACTACCACTACCAAATATCAATAGGTTCTTGTAAAAGAGTTCATATTACAACTAAAATCCCAGTCATATACACAGCAAGACAAATCTAAAGCTCCATACACCATAATCTCATTATATGATGTATCTCTACCACCAGTAACCCAATTGCACATGACACACTACCAATAAAAAAAAAAAAAGAAGGAGAGAGGACATGTACTGAAGATGAAGACAATGACAATGTTACCAAAAAAAAAAAAAGAATTAAAGAAATTTAAACCAAAATTAGTATTTATTTAGACTATCGCTTTAAGACTAAGTATTTAGACCACCATTATTACAAAGTTACAAACATTTATTTTAGTGACAATTATAATCAATCACTCATATATTATCTTGCATTTATATACTTTAAATTACCGATTTAAATAAGCAAATTCAATATTTATTAAGCTATGCATAAGCATCTCCTATATAATATTGCATTGATATACTTTGAAATACTTATTTAAAAATAATCATTGGGCATTGTCCCATTCGCGCAAAACGTGTAAAAAAACTAGTAATTCAATAAGAGTAAAATAGAGTACTAATTATGCCAACTTTGATTGAGACGTGGTTCGAACCTAAGACCTTTCTTATTGGAATCAATGAGTAAGTTAACGGAGAGTATAATTTTTAAGGAAATTTTGATTGTGATGAGTTTCGAACCTAAGACCTTTCTTATTGAAATCATATAATTAAGGATAAATTTGGAAATCTCACATTCTCAGGAGAGCTGATGGTGAATGGACAGGAGGCTTCTGCGGAAGATCATCCCATACTGATGCTGCAATAGTTGAAGCCGAAGCCATTGCAAAAGGCCTCTCCTGGGCTTGGTCAGCTGGGATCAGAGACACAGCGGAAGACTGAAAGATAGATGTATATAAATAAACTGGAATCCCGGGTGCTATGCCACGTTCACCAAAGATATGAACGCACAGGCAATATCTGCAATGCTTAAATCTAAACCAAATATATCATTATTCTACATCTAAGCTGGCTCACAGGCCACAAAACGTAAGGGAGAAGCTATACTAGCAAGCACTAGACCGCGCACTCGTCTAGACATCACTTGAAAGAACACAATAAACATGGGACGACGCCTGGTCAGCGAATAATGCTGGTAACCCACCAATACATGTGAAATAACATACATAGGTAAGATATACATTTGTAAAGCCATTTTCGAAACGGAATACATATATATATAAGTTGATAACCAAGAGTAATCGTCAACACAAGACTTAACACTCTCAACAAGAACACGGGAACACATCCCAAGACCACAAGGACAACAACAACTCAAAGGATAATGACAAGACCAACGGCAACACATGCCTAGGCAACACATGCCTTTGTGACTACACACGTCACAAGAAGAGAACTCACAACAACGGCTACACAAGCCCTCGTGACATCACCCATCACGAGTTGATATGCCTTCCTTATGCCCGGTTCCAACCTTATATCTAGTTCCAACCTTTACCTCCAGGACCCCTGTATACCAAGTCCATCCTTTTCCCTCCGAGGACCGTCGTCCCCTCTCCAACAGAACTACCAATTTCATAGTACACGAGGGTACCGATTTCACACACGGCAACACATGCCACCCAAGAAATACGTGAACCTTACACAAAGGTCACAACTCCATAATCACGTCATGGCCACCACGAGGACCACTACAATACCTTGGTGATTAGTGTCCCATATCACTAATCGTGCAATCCAGGTAAAGCCACACACACATCACACCTCAACAGGAATCAACCAACGGATCACAACGAAGATATGAAACCATACTCAATCAAGGAATGGATCACAGTCCACAACAACAACGATGAATAACACAAGTTATCATCAACCAAGGAAGGTACAAACAACACACACGCTAGCATTTAAACACTGAACGAGCATGCTTATCAAACGGGTAAACCAAACGTAGTTCCGAAGAACACACAAGACTCATCACGGTTCAATGAAACACAATATTGAACACTTAGCATGATTCAAGACACAAAAACCTACATGGATTCCTACCATATAGTTCTAGACATACAAAACATCAAGAAGACACTCAAATAGTTCCACAAAAGAACAACGGGAAGTCAAAAGACCAAATACCGAGTCAAAAGAATCACGGGGAACAAATCCCCCAACATCTACAACACGTACCCCACGGGTGGGCCCATGGGTACAAGCCCTTCCACAGCATGTACCCCGCGGGTGGGCCTCCTTCCCGCCGTTCCGCCCGCGGGTACACCCCTGTACCACAACAAAACACTTCGCGGATTTTCACTCCAAGCTCAAATTCAAGTCCAAAACATGCCAAATCTCACCAAATACAACAAAATGACTTGAATCAAAGGAATATCCAAGCAATGACATACAAGAACCCTAAACACAAGCTCTAGATATGCATTTTCACAAGACAATGCATAAACACTCACATTTCATAGCAAAACACATGTAAAATCCAAGAAACATTCATATAGGTAAGCAAAATAGATTTTGCAGAGCATGGGTTACCTCTTGAAGACTAAAGACTTCACTTTACACCTCAACAAGCTCCTCACAAAGCTCACCTTCCAAACCCACTTCAAGAACATACCAAAAGATCATAAAGATCCTATCTTTAAGAAAAAACACCTTAGATAAAACTAAAAACACAAGATGAACTTAGATCTTACCCTCCTAGATGCCCAAATATATGAAAGGTTGAATCTTGGAAGCAACTCTTGAAGTTTTGGCAAGGCTCCAACTTGGCTTGGAAGGAAAGCTATCTACCTTTTTAGAGAGAAGGTGGAGCTAGATTTTTAGAAAGTGTAAGGAAAGAATGAAGGTGATCTACTAGGTTAGGTTACAATCCTAACACCAAGTGAAAGGTCAAGAATACCCTTACTAACATAAGGAAATGTAAGGGAACTCCCTATAAAGCTTAAGGTACAACTTTGACTTTGGGGTTGACTAGTCAATTACTAGTCCCCGACTATTGAATTTTCAGGATTTTTAGGAATTAAACCATTAATTGGAATAGGGTTAATTACTCAATTAATCCCTTAATTGAATTTGGATTTTGGGGTGTCACAAGTTATCAACTGGATTAGGAGCAATGCAAGTCTTAGAGGACCTATTGCTGAGTACGTTGAGAATATTAGACAATGGTTAGAAGGGAATTGGAAAATATCCATTTGAAGCATCCTTCGTGAGCAGAATAAATGTGCTGATACCCTTGAAGACTTGGGCGTGAACTTAAATGAGGAATGGAATGAGCTAAATTGGTGCCCCCCGGGTTTGGAAGAGAGTATTGATAACGATCGCCTTCGTGCGACTTGGATTCATAGTGACAGGAACTAGTTTTCCTCTTGGGGTATACCCTCTCCTATTCGATGTAAAAAAAATTTGGAAATCTAAAGGAAAAATTAGGATCTGAACAATCTGAACCATTCATTTGATTTAATAATTTGATGAACATTTTTTCTACCTATTATAGGTCTAACCTTTTGGCTCTTATTAGTATAATAAGATAATTTGATGGACATTTTTTCTACCCATTATAGGCCTAACTTCAATTCTTTTGGCTCTTATTAGTATATATTAGATTAGATATAGTATAGATTATTATATATTTTATTAACAGTATAGAACTACAGATTAAACAATTTATCTATGATTAGTATTACATATTTTCTAGCAAATAGCTATTCAACCTTAAATATTATATTTTGATTTAAAAGTATTACTTTTTTTTTTCTCAAAAGCATTACATTTTTTCCCTTATAATTAAGTAACAAACAATTTATTCCTTATTAGTATTACGCATAAATATTACATTTTCATAATGACCCGACCCGTTTCACAGATACAAATATGTGAGAGATCTCACAAGAGACTCACTCAATGATTTTATTAATAGAAGGAAAATATATGAATAAAAATTATGGCCAACACCTTTTTTCTAAATGAATCAAAGCAGCTACCTAAGCAGGCTTATGTATAGTATTACGTTTAGGCAAAATGACACTTTTTTCCCCGTGAGTTATATGCTTATAGCACTTTTTCCCTTGGAGTTATTCATGTATATATCTATATTTTCCCCCTCAATTATATTAAAAGTGATAGTTTCCCCCCTTTTTTGTTAGATTGACATTTTTACCCTTTAAAACTAAGTATATTTTTTTCTCCAACCAATTATTACATAAACATTTATTAAAACTAAGTATATTATTTATTTTTCTTCTCCAACCAATTAAAGAAAATTACACTTTTGGTCCTGGGATTATAGGGTGTGTGTTAATTTCGGTCCATGACTTTTAAAACTAACAATTTAGTCCTTTAACTATGTTTTTTTAGCAGATTTGGTCCTCCCGGCCAAATCAGCGGTGAATTTTTGCCA